GGCAGCTACAGTTTAAAAATGGTTTAAAGTAAACCATAATTTGATTTTGAACAACAGCAGTAGAAGAGAGTGATTATTATTATTACTATTATTGATTTTGTTAATTTGCTCCAAATGCCCTATCTTACCCAGCTCTGCCTTCTCAGTGCTTCCTAACATACTGTTGTGGTAGAAAGGTAGTTAAGACAGCTCGGTGGGTTAATGCATGTGTATTGTCACACACTCCCATCTCCTACCTTAGGCTCCTGTGTGCTCTTAAGCATTGCAAGGGCCCTGGCTGCTGCCCTTGTCCTCTCTGCTGATGGAGGGAAACACAGAGGCTTCCTAATGTTGGCTTCACCCCTTGCCAGCCACTGCACACAAAAGTAACATTGCTTAAATGCAAAAGCTTAAGTGCATTTTCCCCATCGGTCTCACTTAGATCTTGAATGTCTTCTGCCACACAGTCACAACTTTGAGGCTCCTTCTGCACTGTCTTGCCTTGTGGAACATTTTGGAGGGCTGTTCCTCTGCGTGCATGCTCTGTTTGGGAGTTGCTAGACTCAAATATGAACCCTGAGCTCAAGGGTGAAGTTATCCCCACCTTGCTGTGTCCCATGAGCTTCTCCTAGTCCATCTTCACATAGTACATAATAAAACAAGTTCAGCATGGACAGAAGTAGAGGAGAGGSGGGAACCTTCTCCATGGTGGCACTCCTAGTTTGGCAAACCCTTCTGCTACTGTTCCCCATCCTTGTGGAAATAACTCCATTCCTTGGCACYGACTTCTACCAATCAACTCTGCTTCTACCATTCCCAATCCTGGTAGCTGGGAGAGGAAAGATGGGGTATGAAGCATGTGGGGAGACCTGGCCCCAGACCGGGCCCCAGTTTGCCTCTGCTAGTGACACACAGAAAGCCTGTCACTTCCCTGGGCTCCTGCGTGAGCCCACTGGGAGAGGCTCAGTGTCCTCACCTGGGGCTTTGGGGTGTTCTGCGTCCACTCGCCCGCTCCCAGGACCTGCCCTACGGGAATTATCAGCAGAGATTCACTTGTAGGGCAGCGGTTTTGCCGCTGCAACCCAAGAGCCGAATAACTCCATATCACTGGGCTAGAAACAGGAGTTTTACTGCATCCACCCCTATGCTGTTCATGAGTTTGGCAGTTAGTAAAAGCAAAACCATTTAAAATCATTTTGAGAAGGAAAATAAGGCCCTTTCTAGGCCTATTATTTCCAAGTCATGTTTTACTCTCTCATTAATATACTTTTGGAATGCATGAGAGCTCCTTGCACCCACGGCAGGTAATAATGGCCTATTAAAAGACACCATCTCTGTTTCCTAATGCTCTATCAAAGGTTCATTGATGGAAATAGCCATCTGACTGCTCTCATCAGCTTTAAGGAATTCCATAAAAGAATGAAATATGCTTTCCTCATAATCGCTTTTGTACAAGATTTATGCCAATATAAGTAACGGATAAACCAGGCACTTGCTGAACAAGGCTCAGACTTAAGATGGGCCAATGCTAAGAAGGAAGTGTCCAAGAGATGCATTTCATGGGAGAAATCTGAAAGCATCTGCAAGAGTCACAAGTTAGCACCTACGCCTGGATAATTCCCTGCTGGAATAAACATGACCAGCTCCAGTGAGCCCAGAGGTACTGCATGGGTCTGCTCTTGTGGTAAGTTTGAGTCTTGGAGGCCAGGCTCTCGAACAGCTTACAGCTGACAAGAGCAACCTGACAGCATCTGGAAGATGTCCTGGTGTTGGGATATAGCTGGAGAGCAGGAGCATGTTTTGTGCCACCACAACCTGATGAAGCTCAATGCGTAAAGAGTATCACATGGTTGGAAAAAAAAATAATAGCCCCTTAATGCCTGGCAGCACTGTTCAGTGTTCTTGCCAACAGTAAAAGTAACATCAATGGGAATGGACTGCCTGATTAGTATTGTAGGATAATTAAATCCCATTTGCCAGCTATTCATCTGGTTTAAACAGTCAGAGGTGCAAGTCGTAGCTGTGCCTCTCTACCATTACGGCCGTAATACGGCCCAATAAGCCTTTGGCTTCAGGATTACCCAAAGCACAGGACTGACACTAAGGAGATTATATTTCTATTTCCAGCTCTGTTCTGAATTTTTGGGGTAGCCTTTTTTTGTCTGCATCTTTTCTATCTCCAAAACAAGGAAAATGATTCCTTGCTCAATGTCATTGCACTCTGGGAAGCAGATACTAAAGATATAAATGTCATTTAAATACTTGCAAACACGCTGCTGCCACTTTATATGGTAAAGCAATCMCCACACTCTCACTGAATGCAAATGTGCTATTCTGTGAGGGTCTGCTGCTGTTAACAGAGGCACATTTCTGAGGTTGCCTCACCTCTGTAAGCATTTCATATGCCACCTGTATGTCCACACAGTCAATTCTACCATGAATGAATGGGACTGAAGTCAGGCATGCTGAAGTTAAGGAATGCCATCGTGAAGGTTGGCCAGGAGGAGGACAACCTCACAGGAGAGGATCTGGACCACGCACTAAGTGTCATCCCACCAATTTCTGTGCCCAACCGGTATCAATCTCCTTTTCCCACTAATTGGTGTCTAGCCTCATTCTTCTTAACCAACCTGTCAAAATTTACTTCTCCCATGTCCCGGATTACTGCAGACTCTGCATCAACCTGATCTCTTCTTTCTCCTCAAGCCTAGTTTTTGTTTCTCTGCACTCAGCATCAGACTCTCCTGTCACAGAGCAAGCAGGAGGACTAGCTCCCATGCTCAAATTCACTGCCAATCTACACCACATTGGGGAAATGGCCCTACGAGAAACCCAGAGTAAGGCCAGAGGTAGCCCAGTCCCACACAGAGAAGAGGAGGCACTAGCTGGTTGGTCCTAGAAGGTGTGAAGGATGTGTGTGTTCGGAGGACAGATGCTTGCTATACTGTGAGCTGCCAAAAGCCAAGTCTATAAAAACATGCACACTCCCTCAAGCACTGTCTCTCTTCCTCTTTTTACACATATATGCATTTTAAGTCTTTCAGCATAACCGTGTTCAAGTATTATTTTCACCAGGAAAAGCCRATAACCAGCATGCAATATTTTACAGCAAAGGTTGGAAGCTTGTCAGAGCCATTAGTGAGAGSAAAGTATAACAGGGGAAGTATCAACCATTTTAGTAAAAGGCACACTTCTAATGCTGCAATTATTTATTCAGCTTCTCCATTTTTTTTGGCTAGTTATATTAAGATGACTTTATGGGAAGTGTTGCCAAATGTTTAAAATGAGAGCAGTTACATTATTTCAGTCCCAGGTTACTACAGTAAATTGTACATGCTCACCTTGGGTGTTCATTTGTGAACATTTGACATATCAGTGATTAATTAATATTAATAGCAGAAATCACCACAAACCCACTTCATGCTAGAAATCACACACAATTCTGGCTCTAATCACTAGGCACATAAAAGAACTTTAATTGATAACCCAGGTTAATATCCATCAGGAATGGATTCTGTAGGAGGAACAGAGCAATGTTCCCTGTAATCATCCTAGAGGAGATAGAAAGCTTGTTCTACCAAACATCAAAGGAGATTAGGCAGCAGAAGCCTGATAGTAAAGTAGCAATTATGGAGGTTTTTTTTTAATTCCGTGCACCTGCTTCATCAAAATAATAGGCATCTTTTAGCAAAATAACCTGAAACTCAGTTCACTGACTTTCAATTATCTGATGCTGGGAAATGCATCTGGAGAGACATGAAAAAAGGTGATAGACACAGAAAGAGAAGGGGAAAATTAGAACGAGGGAAAATATGAAGACCTATGTAAGTGGCTGTTATAAATATCCTCTGCCTCGGGCTGATTATAGAAAGGGAGTATTTTTGCTAARCAAGGACTGTGGCATCAGGCACATTTGATCCATTGGCCCCTGGTATAGCACCTCTGAATACAGCAAGCAGCTTRCACCACAAATGGAGCTGAACCTATACTTTGAGGGGGAAACTTAGGCATCACACCTTAATGTAAGCAAGATAAGCTCGTGGTAGCTTTCTGTAGACATTTCAGGCTCTACAACTCATAGCAAAATTACTCAGATTCCATGGGATTTGTTTGTTTTTTAATCAACAGTCTTGTGGGAGCCTTGCCAGGGCTTTTGATAAAAGGTAGGAGCAAGCCATTCAGCTGATACTTAAAGGTGGGCCTTCACACAAATATTTCATGATTGCTTGCCCAGGAGCCTCCGCAGATCATGTCACACAATCATAGAACAGCTGAGGTTGGAAGGGACCTCTGGAGATCATCTAGTCCAACCCCCTGCAGCAGGGACACCCAGGGCACAGAGTGGTCACACCATTAATCTTCAAGACAAGAGCTCCTTCTCTATGGGTTCTCCTGATCCCATGTGGCTTTTGCCTGAGCTAAGCCAGGAGACTCAAGGCAGAGCAAAGTCACCACCATATCCTCTTCTGCACACCTCAGCCTGGCTTTGCAAATCTCTCTGTGTAATCACAGCCTCCTCTTTGGAGCAACATCTAAAAGTCCATCCCTAAACAGACAAGTCTTGTGAGAAAAACCTGTGGATGAGCACGGCTGGGAACAAGCTCAGACTTGTACTTAGTGTGAAACTTGGCTCGTTGTGGGGCAGCGCATGGATCTTTCATCAAGAATCACTGCCCTACCCCACCTCGCGTGTACAAAGTAGAAATAATTCCATTGTAATTAAGTAGGAATTATTATTAGTAAATTCCAAATGAACCTTTGTAACATTATCATTAGTTTTCAATACATTCCTTATTTTATCTCATTAGAATTATTGGTAATAAGTGGTCATAACTGGATTGTAATTAAATAGGAACTAAAATATGACTTCCTAATGAACTACAGCAAAGCAATCACAATTTCAATATACATTAATTGTGGTACTGTTAGGAATACAGGCAACTTATTTTTAATGAATTACTACAAATTATTATGAATATATAGCCTTAGTCTACGGAATATTGTCACATCAGTAACTGTACCTGGTAGATGTCAGCCAGCTGTGCAGCAAGTAGATCTACTCAAGCAACTTGGGACTTGCAGGATGCTAATGCCAACAAAGGAAAGGCTGAGTTATGACATTTCCATGATAAACTCTTTACTCAGGAGGCTGCAATTAATTCATAAAGATGCCATTAGGGGTGCCATTAGAACAAGTGGACTAAAAGGCATTAGAATTCAATAGCAGTAATACAGAAGATTRGTGTATTTTTAAGTTGTTGGCTCCTGTTTGATTATAATGAAAGTGCTTTGTAATTTGTCTCAAGGTGGTAAACTGCATATGACAAGCCCTATTTTATTTATTCATATAAATTTAGAGAGAAAGAGAAAATACATATTAATTATGTAGTTTACCTATACAGCTTATTATATAGTTTTTATATATCTATACATAGCTATATTATATAAGTAGGAAATTTCATTTCTATCAGTAGTCTGCTTTCAAACGCCAAAGATACTGTGTGTTCTGCTTTGTATTTTACTGTTGAAGATGTGAGGGGCATTTGGTATGAGAAGCTGCATGTTATGAATGCGCTGGAAGTCCCGACCACCTAGCAGAGCTGCTGCAGCAGCAGCCCATGAGCTGCTCCTGCCCTGTTGGGTCGGGATGGGGAACATGAAGGTGACACTTGAAGCCATGTGCAGAGAGCTGAGCATGCTCGGGAGAGGGCAGCCCACTTCCTCAGCTCACTTGTTTTACCCAAATTTAAATCACAAAGATCAAACGGGGAAAAGTAAACTCACTTTTTCAATTTTGTTACCTAATCAAAACTCGAAGGCGTTCTAGTGTCGGAGAGTGTCCACATATCATCCACTTTCCATATCCAATGCTGACAAAACAATAAGGCAGGAATAACGCAAGTTGTGAGAAAACTAGTCTGTCTCATAAATCTTCACAGGAAAGTGGCTGCTGTTTTATGTTATTGCAGTGTGTTGTTTCCAATGAAGTGATTACTGTTAGATGTATTTTTAAATTGCTTTTGGTATTTTTAAAAATACATGACTTTGAGAGTGATAGAAACAAGATTGAGTGGCGCTAGACAGTGCCTCCGATATGATTAACTTTTTCCCAGACCAGCTACTTCTGAAATTAAGGTTTCCAACACCGCTGTTGTCAACTCTCACCTGTCGGAAAGGGCTTGCTGGAGTCTATGAAATATGTGCAATTATCCATCAGGTCCCTAAACACTCCTCCTGCTTGAGAAACTACACAGGCTTGTTTTCTGTTTCTGGGTGTTTGATTAATAACGGCTGGTGTTATTCTATGCGCAAACACGTGCGTTCAGGCACTAAGACTCGGCGACACGGCACCGCGCTGCAYCCCGATGTGACGTGAAGGAGGAGCCGCAGCTCCTGCCCCGGGGCAGGGAGCAGCGCCGGCCACCGGCTGCAACCTCCGCTCGCTCCCGCGCCCTTGGCTCCAAGTCCCACCTTTTCCAGGTGAGACAAAGTTCATTGGGAAGACATTCAAATCCATGCAAGACGTTTTCTCAGGGCGTTACAAGACATTGAGCTCTAGTTAGATTTCACCCATCAAGGCTTCACTCATAGGTTCCTGAGCTCATGTGCCCCTTTTCCCCCAGATCATCTCTTCTCTTCCAGTGGTTAATGTGACCACTAACTAGCCCAGGGTCTGCACAGAGCCCCTCGGATGGCTGTGCATCCCACAGACCAGGCACTCCAGGGTTAAACTCACCCAGACCAGAGGAGACTCAATAAGAGGCAAAAGGAAAATGAATTAGAGGAAAATCAACAGGCAGCAAAGGAAAAACTAAATTACATTTCATGTACACACATGCACTCCTTTGGCTGGAGGGGCAGAAACCCCAGCCAGAACTGGGCTGTTTTTATTCTAAACAGTGTATCAATCCATTGATTAATTTTACACTTTGTTCCTTATGAACCTGGGTTGGGGCCATGAATGCTGCTATGAAAAGAAGAATATAGCCAAAAAGGAACTCTTAAAAAGTTGGCAGCCGTTTCAAGGCAATGTGTCTGGCCAGCAGGAAGGAGATGGCTCCTCCAGGGAAGTGTATGGAGCTGTAAAATCATTTGTGAACCGGCCCTGCTCAGTTTATAAGGTGTGTGACTGAGTTAAAGTCAAGTTTCTTGCACAAATTTGTGACTTGTAAATCAAATGATAAAAGTAGTCTCAAGTATCATTTTTCCAAAAGGGCATTACAAGACTAGCTAAGAATGACTGTATTTCCTCACTAATACTATTAACTCCAGAATTGTTTCCATCCATTACTGAGTCGAACAAGGAGGGTTTACTGTAAATTGCTACATGCTGCACGGTTCAGCCGATCAGCTTTACGGTATAGGAAATAGAAATAAAACAAATGAGTACAATAAAACACCGTGGATCAACTTCAACTTTGGTGCAATCAAATGCAAATGGCAATTAATGGCATCACACTCGCACCACGACTGATGTGTCCCTAAGCCACAGAGCAACCGGAGGCAGCCACCCTGCTGCTTCCATGCTGCTCCCCAGGAACAGCTAAGGTGCACAGAAGCAGGTTGCTAAATCATCATTTTCCACTTACTTGCTATCTGCTGCCCATAAGTTCTCTGGAAAGCTTAATTAACCTTAGGATTTCCATTCCATAAGTATGCATTTCTTTCAGCAGATTAGGAATTTGGGAAATACCCCCAAAGTCTCAAAGATAGGTCAGGCATGACTCTAAGTGCAGGTCTGTGTAGGATCTCAGTAAAATGGGGCAGAAGGAAGATGAAATTGGGTCTGTGATATATCTTATTCCTCATCCAGACCACATTACTTAGCAGGGGATAGGAGTTTCTAGTTACAGGAGGTTCAGGGATCCCATGATATTGCTTATCTTGCTTGTATCAGGTAAGAGAGAGCAGGACTCCCTACTGACTCACAGCGAAACTCACCCCTGCACAGAAAACTAAGGCAAAGCCAGGATACCACTTAAATGCCTTGAAAACGGGTTCTGCAGGGGCCAGGGCAGGAGTGGATTTCCTCCAGGCAATCTAATTCTTCCCTTGGATCTATATACAGTGCTCCAGTGTCAACACGCATCCTGGCATGTATCTGAGGGAAGAATTTTACTCACTGGTGAATTTGACTACATGCTCAAATTTTGCAGCTGCAATGAAAAAATGATATTTATGTGGTTTTCTAAACTACTGCACATCTAACCCTCAAAATTGATCCTGCTTGAGTTGTTTAAATACCCAACTTTGAGAACTGCTAAGTGCCCACAATGACACCATATTAATTTCTTAGCAAACTAAGGATGCAAAAATTTCTCCACAGATCTAATTCTCTCCCTTCTCATTGAATTTCAATATTGTTAATTGCTAATTAATCACAGACTTTACACCTCCTCGGCCCCCAAGTTTTATGGTTAAAGTTTTGTTTGAACTATGCTTCACCCAGTGGAATAGTCATTGAGGGTCAAGGCAATGTGCTATGAAAAGTGATGCTTCTTTTAAAAGGCCTTGTTATTGAAATAGCTTCTAAGTTAATGCTTGGAAATAACTTTGAAATGAGGGCTTGCACAGATTTGTTTTCTTAGTGCAGCAATTAACTTCATGAGCAGTGACTGGCTGCAGTACCTTCTGCCATGTCTGACACATTAAATAAATTATTCGCTCTTAGTTCATTAGTTGGAAATGTGGTTCCTAATACCTGCCGAGTTACAGGACAGGCAGCATAGCCACAGATCAGCTGAAGTAGAGAAATGAAGTCAGGTTTTGCTGCTCTCACATAAGCTAAAGAAAAAAGGATGGGAAAAGGTAAATAAAATACTGCTTTTCCTACCATGTGGTCAATCAATTCCTTTCAGAAAACCGCCCCCCTGCCCTGTTCCCTTTTTAATGATCAGATTATGAGTCTCTTCTTCCCACTGAGTTGGACTGTCTCAGCGAAAAYTCCCATTGCCTCTGGTGGAAATATCCTCAGCGCTGGTTACTTTTTAATGAAAGTACGATGTCACAGCCCCAAGAAACAGCTTATTATTTTTACTGCCAGTCTAGCTCACTGTTGTAAGCAAGATCTTTGCAAGGAGTCCAGTTGTCAGGTTTTACATGGACAGGGAGCAGCAACCAAAAACCTTCTTGAAAAGCTGGAAGCTAAGGAGAGGTGTAGGACATTCTCCACACTTGCTGCCCTACAGTTGGCACCCTGGCCAGGTCTAGCACCCAGATGTTCCCATGGGAGATGAGGCAAGCTGTGGAGACAGCACCTATTGATGTACCAGCTTCCATCCCCTTTTCTTGCTCACAGACTGGTGCAATTGGTCACCACTGTCATGGCTTGATCTGCAGGAACAAGGGTGGATGGAGTCACATCTAATGATGCTCTGAGTTGCAGCACCCAGACAGAGCCCATGAGCAGCCAGATCTGGCCACAGAAGATGGAGGTACACCCAGCTGAGGGCACACACAAGCATCAAAACAGATGAGTTTCCAGACACATTAAGCAGCAATGGCACCTGAGACACCAATATGAACTCCTGTACACCTTGCAACCATGTGCTCACTGCTATCCCAAAGCAGGTCTGGGATCTGCTGGGATCTGGGATTCACAAGAAGGCTTGGGAACCTGTGGAATCAGATTCCCCCAGGCAGTGTTAAGGGGATTAGGCACTGTAGTTTAGCTGCACACTTCCCAATGACAGATCCACACATGACACAGGTCTGCTATGCAAAAACTGTGTGTGCTCATTTCTAAATAGGAAGAAAGAAAAAGGAGAAAAGAAATCTAATAAATATCCCATTATTTCAAGCGTATATTATGCAAAATTTGGCATGAAATCTTTATCTCACATAAATGCGAAGGTCACTTATTTGTTCATTAAATTCTCCTCAGTCTACATCATTATGCTCATAGTTTTTCTTATACTTAATGTAGTAAGCGCCTGCCAAACTCATTAGACATCAGCTGATAAATGGATTTGAACTCACAATCTGTTAAATATCACATAGGCACATTASAGCAATATTTCCATGGCTTAGAGACCGTATACATTTAAATCTTCCCAGAGATCATTTTGAGTATTTTTGATCCAGTGCAGCAGACTCAACACATAATTCAAGTCTGCTTGCTGTAAAAATTTACAGGCTGGGA